AGTTTAATTTCTCCCCTTTAGTATTAGTAGTTATTGGTAATTGAACTTCTTAATTAAGCACAGGTCATGCCTTCATCTCTTGGTAAAAGAATATGAAACATTGGTTATTTGGGGCGTTTGTTTGTTTCCTTTCCCTAAAGAGACGGGCAAGTCAGCAAATTGCAGTTTCAGGAGGCTGTTAAAAATACAGCCAAGCATAAGGTTTTTGCACAAAATACTAAAGAAATGCCTGAAGGGTTGGGTCATTTCTTTGTGGTAAATAATGAAAAACACCAAAATTACATGTGTTTTGCTTCCTTCCTGTACTCCAGTCTTAAAAAAAAAAAAAAAGTATTTTATGGTTGGGTTTGGATATGTAAATCAGTAAGTTCTAGTATACTATTCACAAGACAGCAGTCATTAGCAAAATTACTTAATGGGCCATTCTGATTCTTGGTCAAGTAGAGGATTTGAAGACTGAAATCACTTCTTCACATACAATCGTTTCATTTAAAAAGTTAGCCTAAACTTTTAGGATAGATAATTTCATTATTGTGGGTAATAACTACAGGAAAAAAAAAAAAGTCAAATGACGATTATTTCACTTATTAATTATATCACAGTCACTTTTATATTCTTATCTCACATCTGTCTTTTTGTTATAATTCACACCAGCAAAACGGAGCACAAGAATTTCTTGTTCTAAGGGTTGTCTGATAAAAGAATCATCAGATGCAAGCTACTATTAATTTAAGAGTGATATCGCAGGATGATCTTTTCACTCAGTCAATTCTAGCACCTCTGCATGCAGAGGATGATAGATTTCCTTTAAATTTTACCCAGGTTTCACTGGAGAGTTCCATTTGTGTCTCCAAGTCTTCATATTCAGAACATTTTATTTCTGTAGATGGTTGTCTCATCATATACTTGTGAAGACTACTCAGTAAATGCTTTTTTTTTCTTGATATTTTCGGAGTTTATTTTCTTTTGTGTGGTAACTTTTTACAGTTACTGCAATGGAAATTATTTTTTCAGATCTGTAGTTTCCATAATGAAACACTCATCTGGTTCTATAAAGTAGCTATTTAAACATTAAAGCTGCAGCATAGGCAACAAGTCATTTAACTGAAAAGCAAATTAACTAAAAATGAAGTTAATACACAATATTTGCTGGAAAGGCAGTGTTCCTGAAGTTTTTTCAATTTAGGGTTTTACTTTTGGTTCATCTACAGTAATAACTTTTTCTGTCTGAAATAAAAATGCTGGTGATGTTAAACTTGCAACCATACAAGCTTGTCCCATTTAATTATTTCATGTAAGATGTTTAAAAGATACATAACTATTTGGAGAAAAAAAAAAAAAAAGCGTTCATACTTTTTTTCTTCATGTAGAACATTGCTGCGAGATTGTATTTCACAGTAATTAATACTTTAAATTAATGACTCATGATTGAACTGTTAACTCACTGCAAAGCAGGAGTTTGTTAGTAACCTGAGCATGTCATACTGTCCATATACTGCAGTTTACATTGTTCCTGTTTAAAAATATATGTGACAAACTGAAGATAAAGTAGAATTCAAATTACTGCTATAATTTCTTTTCCTTTTTCTTTGCTGCCCTTCAGACTATTGGTCAAATCTAGGTCTGAGGTAACATGGTCTTAAAATGCTAGCTGGTTCAGTTTGTTTTAAATAATTACTTTTCCAAAAGGGTGAGAGCAAAGGGGAGTTGCTTGACCTTGTTTTTATACCTTTTTATTAACTTGGAGAATATAAGAGAGAGGCCCAGGAAATTGTATTACAGAGACTTCCTGGAAGGTTAGTACCAGAACTACATTGTATTTGATCGATTTAATTTTACTGACAAAATAGCTTAAATTTCTTTATAGCATAGGAATATAGGAAAAGTATAGGTTGTGGATCCTCAGAAGTGCAATTTTAAATTCCTAGCGGAAAAATCCATAACTTCTTTTCTGAAATGGTGAGCTCCAGAGTATTGGCCAGTCACTAAGGTGAATGATTTGGCCAAGTCAAGAGAAACTGATAACCCACCATGAGTTGGAAGGAGATCATCCTACTGTTTGAGCCTTGTGAAGGGAGTAAGGACGCAGGTAGGGCGTTCTGGCATTCAGAGAAAATGTGAAACACACTGTGAAACATATTATGGACAGTGGACCTTGTCAACCTGGAACATTGCGAAACATATTATGGACAGTGGACCTTGTCAGCTTGGAACATTGTGCCGATCTCATCATACATGTGCGTACTCTAGAGACAGTGAGGACTAATGTGTTAAGGACTTGAAATCACAAGACTGGCTAGAGTTTGTGTGTCAGTGTTTGTCCATTAGTTCACTGAAGTTTGAGTTTGGTATCAAAGCTGTACAAAATTATATTCTGATGCACTGGCAGGTAGAGCATGGTTTTTGGTTCGGGTCTGGGTTTTTTGATTTGTTTTTTTTTCTTTCTTTCTTTTTTCCCATAATGGTTTTTGGTTCGGGTCTGGGTTTTTTGGTTTGTTTTTTTTTTTCTTTCTTTCTTTTTTCCCATGATTTCTTAGTTATTGATTGTAATATGTTTTCAATACAAAATGTGTTTTAGCATTACAAGCAATTTTGTTCACTTGTGAAAATTAATTTCTTCCCTAGAATAAAGTCAGTAGAACTTCCACGTATAACTAGGCATTTTAATTTAAGATTTTCTACGGAAGTAACCTCAAATCAGCAATTGTGGCAGCAAAAGTGGAACTGGTGAAGACTGCTTTCATGTTTCATGAATCTTAACACAATACCTTCAGCTTCTCTCTAACCTCACCAGTGCAATACCCCGCATCTTTCATCCAAAGACCTCATCCCAGTTTCCGCTCCTCTGCACAACAGGTGTCTCTGCTGCAAGCAGTTGTAGAGCCTTCATTTACAATTCCAGTGTTTTCTATCACAATACCTTGTTTTCCTCATGTATTCCTTAAATTTCTCCACTTTTTTTTCCTCTCCACTCCATTCTATGTCAAAACAAAGCTCAGGCTGTTGCCACTCTGGAACTGCACATACGGTGACATGCTGGCCAGCACTTGTGCTGTGTGGCCATCTGGCCGCCAGCAAAGCCAAGGGATTCAACGAGTCAATTATTCTGCTATTTTGCAGTGTACTGGAGCTCAGTCAGACAAGATTTTGTATGGGGTGGCTTTTGAGTTTGTCAAGGAAGTATGGCATATATGTGTTCTTATTTTCACTTCAAAAATAAATCTGTATTTTGGCAAAGGTTGCGTTAGCTCTGGGCATTGATTCTTTTTCCTAAGGTTTTAAATAGTTCTCAAAAACTAGCAAAAGTGTCTCATGCCTCTAGTGTGAAAAGTAGAATCCAGGATGTTGTTATTCCTGTTACATCTGATAGAAATAGCTGGCAGTGCTTTGTGTTGGGTTTGGTTATCTACAGCTAGACACATCAGGAAGCTTTTCGCTGAGATGATGCTTTGATGCAATGTCTGAAGGATGACATGAAGAGTTAGCATCGGCTAAGTGTTTTCTGTGTGTTCGGTATGCTCTGTGTTTCAGTCCCACCTAGACAGGAAAGGACTGATTTGCTTTGCTTCCAGCAACCGTTGAGATTGATGAATAATGGGAACAAGCTGGCTGAAATTAATTATGATAAAAATGAAAAGATTATGTTATAAGGGAAACAGCTGAAGGACTTGGCATTGGTTGGGTAAGGAGCTCTTCACTGTGAACATTCAGTCGCTGTGAGTTAGCAGAGTTCTTGCTTTGGAAGCAAGTTTAAGTACTCAAGTGCTTAGTCTGTTAAAATTAGGCAGTAAGCATCGTTACTATGTTTATTATTCTTTTAGATATGACAAAAGTTTGCTTGCCTTTCAGAAATACACTTTGGCAATTTCAGTGCATTCTTTAGTTTCCTCTAAGCTGGACTGTTGCCATGAACCTTGTGGAAGATGTTTATGCAGAATACATTAGTTGGCATTAAACAAATGGTCCCACCTTGAGTGTGTAATGCTAGTGTGTGCATATGTGAAATGTAAAGGTTGGGTTTTTTCTCTCTTCACACATGGCAAGTCACAGAAGCACGTCATGGTTGATTTCAGTCCCCTGATTCTCAAGTTGTGATAGTCTCGGATGTGATACAAGGATGAACAGTCCTTGGGCACCGCTGATTTATGACACTTCACTCTAGTCCCTGACAGTATGGCCGTTACGAGTAGTGGTGCCATGGTACAGAGCTTTTCCATCGTCACCCCGGTGCCTTCACCGACAGGATGTAGCTGTTGTGGAAGGGAGTTCTATGAGCTTGATGTCATCCTTCAGAGCAACAGTAAAGCTAATACCTGTGGCCTTTTCTATGCAAAGGGGTGTAAAGAAATACCGAGAGAGTGAAGGGCATTTCTAGCTTCCTTCTGATTTCCCCTGATTTTAAGCTATTCTGTCTCCCAAGCCTTAGCAATAAGGGATAGAATTTTTCTATGAGAACTACTGGGAAAGTTTTCAAAAGTGCATATTTCATATTCTTTCCTTCTGTTTGCGTTATATCTTTATGCTGTGCTTCCTCATAGGTCATCTTTGCTTTTTTTCTTTTCGCTTTGTGGTGGTTGTGACTTATTTTATAGCCCATCTGTGCATAATATCAAGTGTTGGTATGAAACATGAAATATTCAAAACTTGGTAGGAATACCACCCCAATACTGGTTTTAGGAAAAATAATAAAGATTATTACCTTAAAGAAATTATAGACCATTGACACCGGGGCGTCATACTAGCTTTCATTAGATAAATAAAAGAATCGCAAGCTCTGTAACTGAAGATGCTCTTTCATAAATTCCAGCAGGTAATAAGTCAAAGTCTAAAAATGTCAATATAGTAACACTGATAAGTGTTGTTTATTTCTGAACAAAACTAAAGCAATCTCTAATGTTGATATTAAATTGTGTTAATGGGGCTTCAAAATAACATTTTTCTGAAGTGATGCAAGTGAAATGAAGCAGAGAATATACATCTCGTGTATACCTTTCAGTTTCTTGAAATTCCTTTTAAATTGCTTCTTGGCATATGCTGTTGTTCAAATTCTTATGAAGATTATCTTTACATTAACATTGACATTTGTATCTGGATTTATTTTTGATTGAAAATTTACCTTCCCTGGTAACCAATATGGCCGTAACAATATGATCAAACTCAGTGCTTCTGTCCTTATGTCACTTAGAATCCTGTCTGAATTTAAGAGAAATCCTTATGACTAAAGTGACCTGAAATCCAACCCTTGAAAAGTATGTTCCATATACTGCAATTGGGCACCAAATGAGAATTCTCTGTCATAAATTTTTGACAAGTCCTTCATACTATGATTCAAGTATTCTGCATGTGTAGATTGACGAGGATGGTTTGAAGTTTTATGCTCGTATGTGCATAGCATGTCTCATTTTTTTAGCATATTTTAAAATCTTGCATAATTCATGATCAAAAAGTTGGTAATTTCAATAAATTCTTTAAGCCAGCAACAAGATTCTTAAGTATTTTTATGGTGATTGTCATGCTTATTCATTTGAACACTCAAGTCAAGAAATGAAAGCCTGGAAACAGAGTTCCTGCATCTCTACATGCATAATGAATGGATATACCTGTCTTGTAGTAGTATACAATCTGTGAATAAGATTTTTTTAACTTTCAGTTATAAATCAGGTGTCAATCAGTTTTTCCACTTAAAAATGTGTGGAAAAACTATCACCTAAAGAGAAAAAAATAAATTTATAAATCCACAATTTCTGGTTTTAAAATTAAAATAAAAAACAAACAACATTATTTATTCTTTGAGCAATTTTCCTTAGAATTGACCTGAGAATTAACCTCAAAAACTTTTTTCCCACCTTAGGTTTCGAACATATATAATTTGTTAATAGTGATCCTCTTAATTTTTAAAACTTGAAAATTTTACAGATAAAAAGCTTTGGTGGGCAGACCAGAACTTAGCTCAGATCGGTACCTGTAATAAAAAAGATGGAAGAAACCCAACTGTCCTGCGAAACAAAACGTCAGGTGTTGTACATATGAAAGTGTACGATAAAGCAGCACAGCAAGGTATGTTAAGTTTTAAGCCTGTTCAACCAACCTTTAGACTGCATAATGTCTTCTCCCATGTTTTTCTCCAAATGTGTCTAGAACAAAATGGCATGTATTTAATTGTAATTCAGTCATAAAATACTATAAAATATTTTATTATTTAATAAATTACTGAATATAATAGGATAATTTATTTTTTAAATCTGTCTGATGTATTTTATCAGTGGTTTTCTGAAGTTTACACTATAATGAAGTTTGAAGTTTTTTTAGAGAATCTTAAGTTTAACATTTTCAGTCAAATAAAATCAGTTAGTGTGTGAACCTCATCTCAAATATTGAAATTTTAAGTAAGTGAAGAATTATGAGTGAATAAATATTCTTAATTATCTATTTGTTTTAAGACAGTTTAATTCATCTAAACTGACAGAAGTGACAGTAGTATAAATCAAAAGTGAGACAGCAGAAAAATGGGGGGAATGTTGCTACTACTGCCAAAACTTAGTTGACAAAGTGGGTACTAAGATAATATGAAAAAATTTAATTTGGGATCATGGACACAATTTTATGAATTTAGAGGTCAGAGATAAAAACATTTGGGAGATTGTTTAAAAAGAGATATTTCTGATTCCAGCCACTCTCAAAGTGCTGATGGTTGCACTGAAAGTGATGAGGATGGGATTTACATGAAAAAAAAGTATTTAATTTTGCGGAGAAACTTCCAGAAGAACACAGGATGGAGCTAAGATGTCTAATATCTGAGGCACAATAAGAAGTCTGTGTACAGAGTACATTATTTCAGTTCCATATTGAGCACTTCAGGGAACACTTGCCATTCTGCCTAATCTAGGAAACGTCAAAGGTGCTTGTCGGTCTTGCCCTTAGTTTTAAATGTGTTATTAATGTAGTATTTTCAGGTTTTATCATGTGTTTGTTACTTGAAAATAGGCAGATTCTTCTTCAGAGAAAAAAAAAAAAAGAAAAAACCCTACTATTCGAAGTGCAGCATGGAAAAGTATATGAGTATATATAGCCTGAAATATTTTACGCATCTCAATTTTTCAAAAAAGTTACCTGAACGAAATTTTAGTTTGGTAATATTAGTAAATTGGTGCCAACACTGGTTTTCAGTCAGTTTTGCCCTGTTCAAATTTTGTTTTCTCTTGTCTCTTGTGTTGTAGGTAGCAATTCCTGCCAGTTGAACAATGGTGGATGCTCCCAGCTTTGTTTACCAACATCAGAAACCACCAGGACTTGTGTGTGTACAGTAGGCTACAACCTTCAAAAAAACCGCATGGCATGCAAAGGTAATATGGCTTTCGATAGTTATTTAAACTAACTTCGGTTTTATGGGAACACCGTTCTGAGTAAATAAACTTTCTTTATTAACTTTAAGTTAAATAACCATAGTTAATATGCTTGATTAAAGCAGTAACAGAGAAATGTCTATTGTGGTTAGGACAGAATTTAAATTTAGCTTTTAATTCCTTTATTCTGCATAGATTTTTGTGGAAACTCTGAGGAATTTTTTTTTTTTTAATGTAGGCAGAAAAAGAAGAGACCATCTAAGCCATCATTAATAGCAGCACATATTTCTTCAATGGCATATACCTTAGTTTTAAACTAAATTATAGGCTACAGTATCTGAAAGGTTGAGTATCTCATCCTGTTGTATTGCCCTTAATATAAAGTAAGGCCTGATTTTATTCTTTTTTAATCTTTTGTCTATTTGAGGAGTAAAAAAAATCAAAACATAGCTTAGATCCAAAGCCTTACTTTTTGCCTGAATAATACAAAATAATGTTATGGTCAAGGTGCCTTATAGTTGTATAAATTTAATATTATTTGTTCCTATGAGGAATTGCTACCTCATGTAGTTAATAGTAGAATATACATGGAAGCAGAATTAAGCTACATAAATGTGGCTTTTCTGCTTCTTCAGTGCTTTTCTTATGTGACAATTAGCATGTCCTTAACATTTTTTCTTTCTTTTTGAAAAAGTCATTTTTGCTTTTACAATTATTTCTTCAGATATTTACGACTTTCAGTTGTGGGTTAAAGTAAAACTGGTGGATACTTTGTAGTTGAAATGTGTTCCTCCTTTATGTCTAGATATATTGCCTTCTAGATCATAACAGCTTTTTATGATTAAATTTCCCTTCAATTCAACAGAGGTCATGAGTCACAAACATTTTTATTCTGTCTTGAAAATTAATGGAGAAAAACTGACAAGTACTATTCTGTACATATGTACTTGTTTAGCATTGCAGTTTTCATTTGCTAGCTAGATTTATTCTTGCTTGAAATTAAATTTTCTAATTCTCTACCTGAAACCTTTTAGTCCACATTCTTAGGGTCTTCTGCTAGGTAGCTCTTTACAAAGAAAGAAGTTTTCAATGAGTTGGTGTGAATAAAAAGGAACTTTTTTGTGTATGGTAGTTAAAATTCTTCAATAATGAGTTATATATCATCATGCTGGGCAATTTCCCTTAAACTTAGAAGTGTTCTGAAGAGATTAGGGCAACAAAGTATTTGTTTTAATTTTGATTGTCAGCAATTAGGTGTGATTCATCTCATCTGGGAATAACTACCTAACAAGACTTCTACACAGCTGAATTTCTTCCTACTTAATAGAAATAGATGCATCTGGATTGTGATTAATCTAACGTGAAAGTAGACATTTAAAATGTGTCAACTGCATTGTTCACTGAAACTAGGTATTTCTCTCTAGTGTCTGTAAAGGAAGGGTGAATGACTACATGAGGTGAGATTAATCCCACGCCTCAAAAGGCTATTTACAATCCTGAGTCCTGCTTTCCACCAGTTCTTTAAAATTGTCTCGCTGAATATGTGAAGAAAGCGCTGAAAATATTCTTAAATTTCTCATAATTCAAAAACATTTTCTTCTTAAATTGTAATTTTCATTACTGCTAATTGATAAGGTGGTGCTTGAAATGGACCATGAGTCCCTTCTCTTTCTAAGACCGCATTTATCATTTCATTACAAATACACCATAATAATTCATGCATGTTTTTTCAAAGAGATGGTGTTATCATTCTGGAAAACCATGGAGCAGTATTGGAAAACTATATTTAGTGCTTGTTAATTCTTCTAGTCTTTGGAAAGTCTCCACTTTGCTATTATTGGCTATTTTATTTTTCCCATAGGTATTGAATCATTTCTTATGTATTCTGTTCATGAAGGAATTAGAGGAATTCCTCTTGATCCAAATGATAAAATGGATGCTTTAATGCCTGTATCTGGAACCTCATTTGCTGTAGGCATAGACTTCCATGCAGGTAAATATGTATAGTTTGTTGTGTGTGTAGTAAATATTATACGTATTCTTATAAGTGAAATAAACCCCCAATTTTCAAACCTTCTAAGTAAATACAGCCATATTTAAAGGAATTGGAAGTTGATTGTGTGTTACAGTGTCAACCTCTAGCTATTCAGTTTTTACAGTCTATAGAAAACCATGTATTATGTCTATGTGGATTGCATTAGCAGCACTATCCACTGTTTTTCAGTGGAGACATCACTAAGAACTTGAGTAGGAAACTGGTGGTTTTACAGAAAGTGGTCATAAATCTGTAGGAAAGTAGGTTTCATTAGTTCCTTTTTCATAGGGGGGGAAAAAAAAAAAAAAAGCTTATTCCCATCATGACTTTTTTCCGCTGAGTTTTCTTAGTCCTGTGTATTGTACCTAGCAGGTGGTTCTGACAGCTCAGTGGACAGTTTTCTTTCTGTCCCATAAAGCCTGGCCACTTCACTGCAGCATACAAGCCAACTCCATATCTGTTCCTTCCTTCTAGAAGCAGATTCTCTAACAGCCTGAAGAACAGGCATGTCTATCTTAAGTACACTACGTACCCTTCCACCACAGTGTATAAATAGGGAACAGGATTTAGATTAGATACTCTCGCAGATTTCCTATGAAATTAGGAGGTTTCTGTTTTGCATACATGTGAAAGAAGGTTGAAAGAAACTGAAGATCAGATCCTGAAAAGTAGTTGGCTACATCTTCCACTGGTACTAAAAGGTGTCTGAATATCTTCAAATGCATTAGGAATTTTGATTGGTTTACAGACAATCTGTGACCAAGCAGTGACCTGAAAACGTGTTGTGTCTCTATATTTTTAACCCATTAGCTCTTTGACCTTCTAAACTGATATTCTCATGAGCTGTTTTTGTTACCTGTTTTGTCTACAAGCTAGCAGTTGAGAAATTAAATTTTAAGTTATCTATGTTATAGATGTATGGACACTGGCCTCCTGAAATCTACAATTATTTTGTCGTACCCTATTGTTTTTCACATTGAAACAAATTCTGCCTGGGAATTCAGCACTGAGAGATCCTAAGGTTTTGCTTAAGTATATGTTAGTAATAAGTCTTCATATTAAAACCACACCTTTTTATGATTGTTCTGTTTGACTGCTTCATCACATAAATATCACTAATCTTTAGTTAACAGGTTAGGAATTAAATTTATCAAAGTATTCTCTTCTTTTGGCCTGCCTTCTTCACTGATGCCCTTGTACCCCTACTCTGCCTAGCAAAATTCCAAGTTCGCTCAGCATTTCACGGTGCCCTCATACTTGTATATTTTGCTTCAAATAAGTGACTAATGTTCAGAACTTTCAGTGTATCATAGGGATAGTTCAGTCACAGTCTACGGAGACATAAAAATCACTTAAAAGCCAACGCCTTTGTGCCCATATCTTAGATGGGAAAGACTATGATGAAGATGATTTAATCTATTCCTATTAAGGATATAGGACGATAGAGAAATGGTAGCTGTGCAAAAAATATTATTTGTCTCTGAGCAATATCGTTCCCAGAAAAAACATCTCACTCTGGAGGTCCCTAACTGATTGAAACTGGAAAGTGGGTTGCAGCTTGGTTGTTAACTCAGAGCTCTGACAATGGCAGTGCAGACATTCTGCTTGAGGGACATCATCACTTTGTTTGCCCCATCTCTTTGTGAAGGGTACTTTGTGGTAACAGTGTGCTTGTCTGTGCTTTGGTGACTCCAAATTCTCAGCCTAGCAGACAAGTTTAAAGGGTCAGTGAAAATGGACTTGTACTCTAAAACTACACAATGGTCCTTCTCTTCCACCTTATGGAGAGCCAACTGCAGATGAATGGCACAGAAGATGGCTGAAATGCCTTAAAACACAAAAAAAAAGTGTTTTAGTGAAAGCTTGTCAGGACATTTAAAAAAAAAAAGATGCATTGTGGATAGTCAAATTTTTATTCTTCTATTGGTATATCACTCTCAAATGTCACACTTTTTTTTAACTAGTTTTTTTTTTTGTACTGCCAAAATTCAATCTGTATGATTACTGAAGGAGAAGACCATATAAGCAGTTTTACATTGTAGTTTTTCAGACCCCTAAATATTTTAGAATGGTGATTAATAAACAAAATAAAATGTTTTCAAACAGGTATCCCATTAGGAAAAAAAAAAACAACACACCATAAAAACAAGACAAGCTATTTATTGTCTGATTTTTAATAGGGGTAGTGTCTTCTGTCTGTTGTCATGGCCCTCTTGTGTTGTATGTGCAGTACCAAACAAACAGTAGAAAGCCTAATATTCTGATTTAATTATTTTTAAAAAGCAAAAAGGAATTGAAGAAAATAGTGTTGATACCATTCCTCTGCTTAGTCTGAGACATATTAATAAAGTTATAATTCATAGTTTTACAGCTACTGATGTAGATAGTTGGACTGAAGGAACTGAATTAATCCAAGAATCCTTGTTATGTATTTCATAGGAAACGATACAATCTATTGGACAGACATGGGTTTCAACAAAATTAGCAGATCTAAACGAGACCAGACATGGAAAGAAGACATAGTTACAAATGGTTTGGGAAGAGTTGAAGGCATTGCAGTGGACTGGATAGCAGGTAGGTCTTAACCGGCTTCAGTAACTGTCGTGCTTTCAGGCAGTACTCTCTTGCATCTTCAGCTCAAGACTAAATAACTTGGTTTGCTTTGAGGTCTAACTTCTAATATTCCAAATGTCTAGATATTTTTCGTTGAAGATACCACCAGTGTTTTTTGCAGTTTTACTACGGACAGAAAAATATTTAAATATCTTGGATACTATTTCTTAGATGGACAGTCTCAATAGTGATAACCATGAATATGAGTTTATACTTTAAAATGAAGGATGAATAGGAATAGAAATTACAAATATAAGATATGTATAAGTTAAAATGCAGTAGTTTCTGGTCCTAACTTACTTAAGATTTAAACACTTTCCAAGTAGTCTTTTCTTTTCCCAGTAACTTCAAGGTATTTTTCCTAGGTAACATATATTGGACGGATCATGGCTTCAACTTAATTGAAGTTGCCAGGCTCAACGGCTCATTCCGATACGTAATTATATCCCAGGGTTTGGACCAGCCAAGATCTATTGCAGTTCACCCAGAAAAAGGGTAACATGACCATGGCTACTTGCATTTATTTTAAAGTTTGCATGCTAGCACTGAAGCTCTTAGATAAGTAAATTTAAGCATTCTTTCTAACAGATAAGTACTTTGTAAAACCCAAAAGGATTGTATTGGAAATTATTCTATTTTAACTAAGCACAAGCAGAAGGAAGTGTTATTCTTGTCATACGCTGAGTTTTTTTGTCGATCTCTGTACACATAAGATACAGTACTTTCTTTGCAAAACAGTTTTCATCTTCTAAGACAACAATTTCAACTGAAGTTCAGACATTGCTTGGAAGCATGCTTAAATCTGTTCTTAAGTTTCCAGCAAATCCAAGGAAGTCACCTTGGCTAATAAAGACCTCAGTGTCATGATGAAGTCGTAGAACAGTGTAATCCTTGGTAGTTACACATTCTAGTATCATGTAACATCCCACTATATCAACCAAGGAGGTTACCCAGGGGAGCTGAAAGTAATGTGAGATGAAGCGTGTGGGTAAGAGAGTAAAGGTTGTCAAAAAGGACATCTGTATTCATCCAGCTGTTTGTTGAGAGGAGGGACCACACTGCAGCATTAACAGAAGGAGAGAATGTTCTGTCCCCTTCCAGCTCCAAAACTATTGTTAGCAGAGGTACAACTAAAACAGAAGCAGTAAATTCTGCAAAGAATTTTCATGTTTTTCATGGGAATATGAAATGTATTTTCTGAGGAAAAGGCATATAAGCAAGACTCAGTGGATTTAACTGCTACACTTACCCTGCTAAAACGGAAGCACTAATCGGTGTGTATCAAAATCTTAAGGAAGAATTTCAATAACTACCTGCCCCAAAGCCAGAGGTGACACTGTGGCTTGTTTTCCCCAGATTCAATCAAATCAGTATCTCACTATTTGCAGGAAAGCAGCGTCTGTACTCAGAGGAATTTGCAACCATAGTAATGATGAATTCTCGCTTCTCACTGGAGCCGGATTGGTACCAGTGATGCAAAATGCCGTTTGGATCTTTGCCATTATTTCCTTTATGGGAATCTAGGCATAGTGATCTGTGTATTTGGCAGGCTAGGCCATTGCAACTGGATGTATTTAAGAGCAAAGGCGAAAGCAACAATGGGTTATATTTTCTGTGTAATGTAATAGCTTTTGCCATAAAACCTTACAGCTGTGTTCATGTAGCACCACTGGTTGCTTGTCAGTATCTGCTAAAAGTTTAGGATTAATGATAAAATTCTTCCGACCAGAAGGGTAGACCAAACTTCTTCAAAATAATAGTTAATTTACAGTGTAATTTTCCTCAACATGTATATAGTGTTTGCTGTACACATATACAGATAGGTTTTCACCCCTTACTTACATCCAAGGAGAGGAAAAGCCCCCGTGAACTCTGTGAGGACTAAGTGCAGCAGATGCAGCTTCTCTGGAGAATCTTTAGATATTAAAATCATATGAATTATATAAATAAAAGCCATTATTTCCAACAAGAAATGGTAGCAGTGTAATCAACTCTTCTGCAGTATTTGGAGAGGGAATATGTGCTGTAGCTGAGAGCCAGCATTTAACAATTGCTATAGGGAAGAGCAGAGCCCTTGGCAGAATATTATTTAATACTGCTATTGAGAGAAAAATTGCTTTTTTACTAAAGTGTGGATTTTTTTTTTATTTTAATAATATTTTCACATGATACTTTCTGACTCAACAGTTCATGGTTTTAGTTAGTCCAGTCTTTAGAAAGAAATAGTTCCCACTTTTAAGTTAATAGGTACTTTAATAGGGCTTAAAATAGAATAGTCCAATGCCACCAACAAGCAGTTATTAATAAAATGTGGTTAAAATATAATTTGGAGGAGTTTGAGGTATTGCACTTGAAACAAACAAAAAAAAAAACAGTAAAGAAGAGAAATGCTAAATGTGGAAATGAATTCAGTTGTGAAACATTCCATAGGTGTGTGGATCTTGTTGAAGTTTATAGTTAGTTTTCAGATGTGTTTAGAACGCTTAAGAAAACACAGGATGTTGAGAGGACCACTGATTAGTAATTGTTTTACCTCTCTGGTAGAACAGTGTAGAAGGTGGGTATACTTCATCTCTGTTGTTTTAATACTGTGCCACAAAATTATGTCTTGAGATGTCTCAAATCAAAGTTCTTCATGAGAAGGATAGTATTTTTTTGCTGGTGAAGTATAGGTGTTCTTTTCTGCGTTCTTTCCCTTTATGAGGCAAAGCTTCTTCCCTCCCCTTGCCCTGACTTCACATTCTTCATTTCTCTTGAAGCGTGAGTTGACAGCTGTAAGAATGGAGAGGTAAATAGCAGTTACTAGCTCTCATTGAATCTGCCAGTTATACCGAGATATGAAGCAGCCAGCATTCAGCTGGTTGGTAACATTATTTATTATGACTAAGGAAAAAGTTAAGAATGTGTAGTCCTACAAAGGAATGTCTTTGTCCCTCATCAGATATGCTTATTCATATAACATACACTTGGCTGATTTTATTTTCTTTTTCCCAATTAAATAATAGTTTTCTGATTAAGCTCAGAATTGTGGTTGAAATATGGAGTTAAGCACATACTGAAATAATTCTTGGGCTTTGAAGATACATCCCTCAAAAACATTTTGGGAATTTCATTTGGGGGGAGGTGGGGATTTAAACTCTTTTTTTCTGTAGAAGTTTTTTGTTTTTTTTTTTTTTTTGCGGGGCTGGGGGGGAAAGTTGATTCTGCACCAGCGTCAAATTTCCACCACTTGCGTCTCCATGTCAGCCATGTAAATTATATATGGGATAGTTCCAAAATAAGTTAAGTCATACTTATTCTAGCATTGTTATTCTCCCAAATGTATTGGTAGCATTTTGCTACCTAAAAAAGGTTGAGGAAACAAGTATTTTGGATGCTCGTTCCCAGACCTCTTAGGAAGATATGGGAAGATCAATTTTTCTATATTAGTTAATAGTTTATGTAAGTTTATATATCAATATATTTTTAATTGTTAATGCTCTCTTAGAGCATTAACTAACTTGCCTTACATTTTTGGCAGCTATCCAGGACTTTCTTTCGAGGATTCTAGATTCATTTGACCTGCTATGTGTAGGGGATTTGCTTGTTTGTTTGTTTGCAAGGCCAGGCTGGATGAGGCTTTGAGCAACCTGGGTTAGTGGAAGGTGTCCCTGCCCTTGGCAGGGGAGTTGGAACTCGATGGCTTTAAGGTCTCTTCCAACCCAAACTATTCTATGATTCTGAGAGTAACTAGTCTAAGGAAAGAGCATGGAGTGTTTAATTCAAGTATATTGAATTGCCCGTCTTTCTGTTGTCAACATTTAGTTGTTGTCCTGTGTTAAGAAATACCTCTGACTAGATGCCTGAAAGCAAGTTCAGTTCTGTTTAGAGGTGCTGTTAGTAATCTGGTTAAAGCTGTGGTAAAAATTAAGCAGTGGTTGTTGATACCCAGCAATACCATCTATTTTAACATTTCTAAAATGTATTTTTAATTTAGCTAATGTAGCAGTTCAATTTCCTAATGTAGTGTAAGTTTTATAGTTAGCATTCATATTATTGTTTGTGATGTCAAGAGGTAGGGAACAAATTCATTTTTATTATAGCCAGGAAGCCCTACAATTAGAGCCAAAGTAAAGTGGACGTTGTTTCAGAAAATAAATTTGATGAGCTAATTATAGGATCCGTGTCTGTTCTCCCCTGTCCCATTTTTATCCCTCTTAATTTCACTAATCTGCAATTGTCCAATCAAATATAGCTATTTAATAACAGATTGGTGTAATGATATCACCCGACTCAGACTCATGAGTAGAACTGCTTAGTAATGCACAGAAGACTTTTGTAGTCTTTAAAAACAGACTGATTCATACCTTCCACACAGAGAAAAACAATGGAGAATGGTTTTGTTTGTTCTGTTCACTTTGTGTACAGCATATTACTAAACAATGTTTTAGTGTGTTCTTAACGAACATTTACTATGAAAATGCTTCTCTTCAGGTGATTAGTAGTATGCTAGGCCTCAGGTTATCTGAGAAGGAGATTTCTTGCTCAGAATATCATATTTTGTGGAGTTTTTTATATGTGTATTTATGTTTTAACACAAATATATATACATACATATATATATATTTGTAGACACATAGATATTTACTTTAAGGTATTCCATGGGTTACTGTTCAGTAGAGGCAATGTTCTCTGTAGATTAACTGGCCTCATTTTGCTATACCTAAAGCAACAGAGAAGTAGGAGGTCAAGACAGGAGTTTCACCTGGCATCTTGCCCCAAAACAGTCATGTTACTGTGCCAGTAAGTATACAGTAATACAAAATTAGATAAGTAAGATGCAGATTCTTCCCCTGAGCATTAGGGAGAACAGGAAAAATATTTTCTTCCCAAATAAAATCCCTGTGGTCTGTCTACCATTTCCCAGTGCTCTTCATTGCTTCATATTTAAGACATATTCTAAGTTAGGCATACAAGTCTTGTATTGTCTAAACATTTCTTAGTAATTAGATGTGAGAGCTTCTGTTCCAGTAATACTTTTTTCTAATTTGCTTCTATTTTCCCAAGGATAAATCAAAATTCTTCAAGGAATAGAATTGTATATTGACTGATCGATTACAGTTTTAAGAATTATTACATACATATAATTTGCAAAAAATCTCTCAACAGTGTTCTATGAAACAAGTATTATGAATCATTTAATCTCTTAAGATGATTTAGATGCATGAGCCTTACAATGTTTTTTAAGTACATATTTAATAATAATGGTGCATTTCATTTTCAGGTGAAGTACAGAATTGCATATTTTCAACTCTTATTTTGATGCTAAATTTTAATTGGTAATTTCTACACCATTTTAGGTATTTATTTTGGACAGAGTGGGGACAGAGTCCCTGCATAGGCAAGGCACACTTAGATGGGTCTGAGAAGGTTGTGCTTGTGAGCCTGGGGATTGCGTGGCCTAATGGGATTTCCATCGACTATGAGGTTAGTTCCTCTGTCTTCCAGTATATATCAAGATGTACAGTATTTGTTATGTTTCATTAAAGCCAGCTGGTCTTCCACTTTGATGTAATCTTAATAACTCTTAATTAAATACTTGGACAAGACTGGTGATGTTTCCTTTAAAATTAATCTTTAGGAAAATAAATTATATTGGTGTGATGCTCGTACCGACAAGATAGAAAGAATTGACCTTGAAAGTGGAGGGAATCGGGAGATTGTGCTGTCAGGGAGCAATGTGGATATGTTTTCGGTCGCGGTGTTTGGAGCTTACATCTACTGGTCTGACAGGTAATTTATTTTTCATAAGTATTTGAGTCTCAAAATGTTATTTCAGTGCTAAGTGCTTCACCTTTGTAGGATTAGCTATTCCTTAGTGAGGTCATAGAATGGATCGCAGAAAGCTATGCAATTTCCAAAGAAAGGGCATTTCTGATACTGACAGGTAAAGCATATCAGTGTCATAGACAAGGAAAGGTTTCTTCACCTTCTGTTAGGTGAACTCTCCACTGCCCTTCAGTCTTTTGTTTGGTGTGAATTAGTTGAGGATTGTTGATGAGACATCTTCAACTTTTTTGGCAGAGCACATGCAAATGGCTCTATTAGAAGAGGCCACAAGAATGAGGCCACGGATGCTGTGACCATGAGGACTGGCCTTGGAATAAACCTGAAGGAAGTGAAAGTCTTTAATAGAGCACGAGAGAAAGGTTGGCTGTTCTTAAGGATGCTATTAATTGTTTTAATATCACCTACTTTTTATCTATGTTAAAGCATACCAAAAGTTAAGTAATCAATGATTTTATCTCCACTCTTTACTTTTGAAGTATTTTTTTTTAAGCTAGAATTAGTGTACTAAAGAAAACGTATAGTACAAATTCCATTAATATTCTTCTGAGCATTTTAAGGAGAAAATCTAAAACCAAAACACTTCCTATCATTCCAGGTTTGGTGGGTTTTGTTTGGTTTTTTTTTTTTAATTAAAAAAAAAAAGCAGAAAACAGTCTTAGGAATGAGAGGCACCTTGAACTGTGCTTTAAAGAGCAGTAATTTCAGGCAGTCTCAGATTTGTAGTGGAAAACAAACCGAATTTTTGTTGGTTTTTTTTTTTTTCTACAGCTAGCAATTCCCAACCTCTGTGTCTCAAATATTTATTTCCTGAAGTTACTTGATTTTGAGTCCTAGGTTTTTTGTGTGGGAAGAGACCTTGTAAATAATTCAATTTTCTTTATATTTAATTTGTTTTGCGAATTCAAGAGACAAAAGTTACCATGTACTCTTGGTGATTTATAGTATCGATGGTTAAATTTTATTCTCCACTACCTGAATAAGAATGATCTTGCTTCTAGCTGTCTTTTTCCTCCTAAACTTCTGGTTTTGAAGAGACCTTGAAAAACTTGTTTCCATGAGCAAATGTGGTTGGCATTCTACCAAAAATGGTGACAATTTCCTCAGAACGAACTGCTGTCAGGCAATCCAGACAAAATTTCCTGTAAATGTATTCAAAAAGAGAGAAAAGAAAATGTTACTATAATACAAGATAAACTTTTTAATAGAAATATATCTCGGGTGCTGATAGTGCTCAAAAGTTGCTTTAATCGCAGCGTTACATACCCAAAGATCCTGTTTCTTTTATGTACATATTTCCTAAATAACCATGTTAAATATGGCTTGTAAATAAATTTGCATTTTGAAAGAAGATATCTTTAACAATCAATAAGAACAAGTCTTTTTTTTTTCTAAAGGAAATTTTAAATAGTTTTGAAAAAAATCACTTTGCAAACATGCATATAATTTAACTTTACTGCATGTAATTTCAGAATACTGTGGGCATCGTATTTTGTGGATAAAAATAAAATCCACACAAATTTATTGTTTCTTTTAACTAGGCTAGAAATAGTTAATGTCTGCTTGCTTGGAAGGGCTTTATGTTATAGAATTAGGAAAATGGAACAATTGGATAAAAAAATGCTTTGTTAAAGGTAATGATTTTGTTGATAGTTTTAGAGATTTGATTGCATTAGCAATAGGAGTTTACTGAGGCTAAAAATCTTTTTATGTTAGTTTGAAAAACATAACTGAATGATTTTTTAATACGTTTTTCAAATTTTACTAGGGTACAAATGGTTAATGTCTTTGGGAGGGGCTGTCAGTGAGCCAGGAGGACAAAAGGGAAAAAACAGGTGAAAAATTTTTTGGAATGTTTTCTATATCACACTATTATATATATTTTAAGTTCATTGAACTAGAAGTAGTTAACACTGGTTTTAAAAAAAAAAAAATGTAATTAGCTAGCTTCCTGACCTTCTATTATTAAAACAAACAAAACCCCAAACAAACAAAAAACCCAAACAAAAAACCAACAACCTGTGCTGATTGTGATTAATGCTTTTTTTTCAAACACCTGTTTTACCCTTTCTGATGAGCCAGTCCTGCAGTGCTATTCACAAGCAGGTTCCTGTCTTTCATGCTACTTTACATGTGTGCCTAACTACACTGGCTTTAGAATTGACCATTTTAAAAAGTATTTACACCTTATGAACTGTGGAAGTTTTCAAAGAGAGATTTTAGAAGCTTGAAGATCTCTTCCATATATTTTCCTTTCTCTTCTCAACCTCTCATCCTTCCAAACAGATATTAACTTTTCTAGCCTAATAATACTTTAAAAGAATCTTTAAAACAAAGCAAAGGTAACAGTGTATGCAGCTAAATTGCCAAATGTTTTTACCTAACTATAGAGGAATATGTCTCATGTAATTTTGCCTAGGAACACAACATTCAATGTTTCTAATTTTAAGAGCAAGTTAACTCTCATCCCCCATTATTTTTTCTTAAAAGTGTCTTCAACTTGAAATGTAGCAGTTAAAAAATACGATCAACAGTACTTTCAGACACTACATATTCCTTGACAATTATGATTTTTTTTTTAACTGAAAACAGTCTATTTAAAATGTTTTCTTCTCCTTTGCTATGTGGAAAACTTTCAGAAATGGCAAAATGGCTATAATGAAATATCTGAGTTGTGATATAGAAAGTGCTGTCAGAAACAGGAACTAAATTATCTAAACTAACCATAATAGCAATTCTACATAGTCAAAAAAAAAAGAGGAAAATAGCTCCTAATTATTGACAATTACAGTAACTTTAAATATTGCTTGCAACAAGTGTAGTTTAAGTCTTTGAAGTTACTAATTTGACTATGATTTCTTAATGGTATGCATTTGTCAGGGAGTAAGTTTTTAAAGTAAGATTTTAAAGGAAATTAGAACAAAAAGTTAGGAAATGTCCTTATGAAAAACAGGGAGCTGGATTGACATAGCTTTGTACGTGTCAATATATGTTTTCATTTTGATAGAAATTGTCTAGAAACAGTTCTGTGTTCTGATGGTATCTAAATTTGACTTTTTGTCAGTAACAGGTGTTTTAAAAAAAAAAATCTTTCAAAGCACTTGAAACAGTCTCTAAGTCTTCAGCTGATTATGGAGGAATAACCCATTTTATTATTTTCTATTAATAAAATATATACTCGTGAATTGGAAAGGACATTAATTATATTTCCTCATTAGTTGTATTTGTTAAAATTGTCTTTAGGATGTAGTTAAAGTTACATTTTTTGCTGTTTTAGCCTTTGTTTTACTTGTGAATATTGTAGAAAAAGTTTTAAGAGAAGAATTCTTAGAATACATAAAATTACAGTTTGATTTAAGTTAGCTAAGTGTAATATTATAAAAAATAGATTTTTGTTTGTTTGTTTGTACAGGTACTAATGTTTGTGCCAAGAATAATGGTGGTTGTCATCAACTTTGCCTTTACCGGGGAAGTGCACTGAGAACGTGTGCTTGTGCACATGGCTATCTTGCAGAAGATGGAATTACTTGCCTAAGACATGAAGGTTACCTGTTGTATTCAGGAAGGACAATATTAAAAAGTATACATCTTTCAGATGAAACCAACTTAAATTCTCCAGTAAGGCCATACGAAAATCCAGAGTACTTCAAAAATGTGATAGCTCTTGCTTTTGACTACAGTCTGAAAGGAAGAGGTACGAATCGCATATTCTTCAGTGATGCACACTTTGGAAATATACAAGTTATTAAAGACAACTGGTCTGGCAGAAAAGTGCTAATTGAAAGTAAGTAAAAAAGTTATTTCCTAAAATACATATTTTATTTCAATAACCTTTATTAAGTAAAAAGTTGATAATCACTTGACTTTATACTTTACCATCCTTAAGTATATAGTTGTCGTACTTTGTCCATATAAGATGCATTTAAACGTTGTCTTTAGAATTACAGCTTGAAAATAACTTCTAACAATTGAATGACGTGTGAAGCATGTTACTAGAAAACAGAAGTGATAATGATGGTGCTTAATCTGTATGACGTGATTTTTAAAGAGCTTTACAGTTGAAACAAAGCCTCACCTCCTTCAACACCTGGAAATGAAAGCAGTCTCCTTACCCCATAAGCCTGTTGGCTGTGTATTTTTCTAGTTAGTGGGGATGAAGTACCGTGAGATACTTGTGCTGATAACCGTTCCTTAGTATAAAATATTAGGACTCTGGTCAGTGTGTCCAGTTGACTCACCCTTCTTGTAGTGAGCCCAAGAAAAGTGACTCAGTGATAATTGGAGGCAAATTCCAACCTACCAAATTAACTGGTTGTAGTAGAGGCTTACTCAGTAGCTTTGCATGTTTCCTATTACTTCATTCACCACACTACTAGGAGGAGTTGTAGGAAACTTGACATTTTTTTAGCCTCTGAATACTTGAAGCCTGACACTGCTATCAAGGAATTCATGCTGATAACATCACCAAAGTCTTCAGGACCAACACACAAAACATATTTTGCTACAGAGGCCTTGGTAAAATCTTACTGTGGATCTGGCACTGAAATCTTTATCAATAAAGTCTAAAAAAACTTTAAAACAAGGTGTATGTAAAAAGTTATCATGGTTTGTCATGATAAAATTAGAATTCAAGGAAAATCTGAATGCAGATGTGTAAGCGATATATCCTTAATGCTAAACATACAAATATGCATGCTACAAAAATCTAAATTCTAAAAAGTCTCCCATTTTTCATTTCTGTTTGAATTTAATTGTTCTAAAATATGCACTAAACCTCATTCATATGTGTTCACTTATCAGATGCATATATTTACTGTGTTTTTTTCTCTTCCTTGTCATTTTTGAGCACTACCTCGTTTTTTAGAGGCTCCAGTTCATGTCGGTAACCGTTTTCCAAAATGTCTGAAGTGTTGTATAGATTTTTTCCTTATGTTGTGGATAATTCTCGACTGAATGTTGTACATTATGTTGCCTAGGGCATTGCTACATTTAGCTACTTGTTTGGGTCAAACAATTTAATAACACAACCAAAGAAAGTGATTAGGAAAAATGTAAGGACTTGTGGTGTGGAATGTATCACCCTTTGCTGTTGGATATTAATGGACATATTTTTAGACAAGAAAGAAGTTAAACAACTGCTAACTGACAAAATATTATTCTGCAACTGACATTAGATAATTGTATCATTATGTCCTTCTGCACTGTGGTTCTGGGTAAGAATTTGTGGTCATGAGAACTGTTGGCGCTAATGAATGGAAAAGCATTTTTCAAATATAATAGAAGGCCTTTTTTTACTTTGAGTTTTTACATGTGCATTTCTTAGAGGGATTAGAATCGTAGAATGGTTTGGGTTGGAAGGGACCTTAAAGATCATCAAGTTCCAACCCTTCTGCCATGGGGTTGTTCAAAGCCTCATCCAGCCTGGCCTTGAACCCCTCCAGGGATGGGCCATCCACAGCTGCTCTGGGTAACCTGGGCCACTGCCTCACCACCCTCACAGTGAAGAATTTCTTCATTCTCACATTTAAAAACAGTCAAAGAGGAGAAAGTAATACTGGTAAAGCACCAATGGAGATACAAATTGCTTTTTTTAAAAGAACAATAAAGTATTCCTTAATACTTCATAATAGGTTTTTGTACAAGAGCTAAAGACATTCCATAAAGCATAGCTGAGAATTATACTTTTAAGAAATTGTTAGGAAGTGTTTCTACTTGTAATCTTAATATGCCTGATTCTATTTTTCATTAGCAGAGTCAGCACTCTGAATAATTGAATGTCAGATGAAATTTTCTATCCTTGCAAAAAATTTACTGTATATGCTTGGGATGTGTTTGTGAACAATGGTGTTTGTTTTCTAGAAATGCTTCAACTGATTTTTTTTTTAATTGTAAATGAGAAAGGATATCACATCCCAGTATGTTATTGTTCTCCTTCCTGTTTTTTAAACCCCTTTTCTTTATGTTGAGTCATTCACTTTTAATGTATTTTTGTACTACGTGTCCTTCCTTTCCCTAGTCTGCATGTGATTTTCTCTCACTGTAAACAGGAAAGAATTCATGAGACTGCTTGACATAGTGGAAGTATTTGACCAACAGTGATGCCTATAAATGGAAAAGCAGTGATAAGACTGGTTGACACCAGTGCTTCCATTCAGTGAAAGATGTAAAATTCTATAATTTTCTGATTTCCATGTTAACTGTATGTGGTTACACAGAAATTATTAAATGGAATCCAGCTGAGCGATTTCAGTAAGACTGTTTCATTGCAAGATTAAAAAGTAACATCTTTGACATTCATTTTGCTATCTTTTTCCTCTAAAATTCTCAATATGTATCTGTAGCAACTTGGACTTTACTAGGAAGAGATTCAAAACCACATTGGAGGTATCTAGGGTGGTTCTAATAATTCTGCAATCCCTTTCTACCTCCTGAAGTTGAAGTCTACAAATCATGCAAAACTTTGCTCAGTGTTTGTCTCAAATAGTGAAAATAGAGTACATCATATGCAAGATACTATTGTCCCAGATTTTTCGTTCACTGAATATAGGTCTGCTCATGAAGAATCCATTAGCTGATGGATTTCTACCTCACTGAAATCGGGTATGCCACTCAAATCTAGCACAATTTTCTGTACACTAAAACCAGAGTTAAGATATATAAAGAGCCCTTTATTAAACAGGTTTCCAGTTCACTAAAAACAGATTTACAACTTACGAGCAACCTGTTATCTAATATGTTTTTAGCTCACTGAGAACAGATTTACTACCCAGAAACAACCCATTATCTAACATGTTTCCAGTTCACTGAAAACAGATTTACAACCCATACGCAAGCTATTATCTAACATAGTTCCGACTCACTGAATATTGATTTAGAATTCATAAACAACCCATTATCTGACAAATTTTCACCTCGCTGAACAGATTTGCAACTCATAAACAACCCATTAGCTAACACGTTTTCGGCTCAGGGAAGGTAGATTTACAGCATATAAACAACTTTATCTAACTTGTTCCGGTTCACTAAAAGCAGATTCCAAACTCCCCAAGAACCCAGTACCCTTTGGGGTTCTTTCTTCAGCCAGAAGAAACAATAACAACAACAAAAAAATGCTGTAGCATGTGCATAGTGTACCATACCCTAACACTATGTTTTGTGCGGCATAGGGTTTTGGAGTGGATTCTTTCTTATCTCTGAATTCTGCTGATAAAATAAACGTTATTTCCTTTGGTCACTTGATATGGACTTTGTCTTTCATGTTTTTATGAGTAACTTTATGGGGTTAATCTTTCTTGATCGCCAGTTTTTAAAAATGTACCTTTTTCTTGGCTGTGATTTCCCACAAATATTATTTTGGATGATGAATTATTTAAACATTCGATATCGCTAATGATTTTGTTGCCGTAGCATCATGTACAGTTTAATCCAGTCTGCAGACATTGTAAAATTATGCAGCAGAACCTATTTTAAATATGTTGTGACATGACTGCCATCTATATCGTGTGTTTTGATCTCAGTCTTTGCTTCCAAAAAGAATGTAAGAGGTTATAAATTAGTGTCTTTCTTGCTTTAAGTACACACTTTGAGAAGTATCAGACTGTGATGGAATGAGTAGGTACTTACTGTGTGATCCCACCCACCCACTAATTTCTTTTTAACTTTTCACTTTTTAGCGGTAAAGATCAGCCTTGCAGTTCTCTTTACACAGGTTAGACTGCTTCTCCTTCTAACCTGTAACCTAAGCTAGCTATACCTGTGTGTACTTTTGTATCCTGTTGTGCTGTAAAAGCTTCATGAGCAAAATGTGTGTATTCTTACAGTTCCAGGAAACGGATGGAGTGTCCCAGGGGCCTTTTTGTCTGGGAATCTGTGAGAACCTTGATGGTGTTCCTATTATTCATTGCTCTTTGGAAAGAAAATTAAAAAAAAAAACAAAAAAAAAAAAAACAAGACAAAACAAACCACAACAACAAACCCACAGTTACAGGGATTGTATTTGGAAAATTTATGCTGATATGCACTTTCTCTGTTCTTCCAGTTTGAGGAGTTGTGCAGGTTTCACTCTGCAAGAAGGAGTATTTTTCAATTTCACATAAGCTTTCTGGAGCTTTTGATTGTTCAAACCAGTGCCTTGACAAATCAAATCCTAACTCAGTTGGTATTCTAGAGGAAATCCAGACAGATTACATACCCTTTGGAAGTTGTTTTTTGTTTAATTTTAGCCCCCGATGGACTGGGCTTTGTAGAAAATTGAAAGAAGGCATTAAATACAAAAGGAGGTAGAAAAAGTAACAAATTTACGTGAAAGTGAGACTGAGTTTAAATCAATATGTTGAGGTGGCCATCTCCAAATAATCTTTACAATTCTTGCTGAGCCCTGCCAGGATTAGACCTTCTAACTGTTGCCAGTCTCTCCGGGAGAATTTGTTACTGAAAACCTAGGTTAAAATGAGGTAATGGAGCAGTATACAGAAAGAAAGAACAGAAATTAGTAGCAATTAAAGGCACAGAGTTATGTAAGGAGGTATTTGGAAAGTCAGACTGTTCGAAATTGCTACAGTTTACCTGTTTCATCTGGAATAATAGGGTCTATTCTATTCTCAGAGGGAGCCCAAGGGAGAATTTTACTCTTATTTTCTTTGCTGTTAATAATTTAGAGACAGAACAACATTATTATTTCAAACTTCTGCACCAGTTTCTGCAGTATTTAAAGTGGAAGCTATTTCAAAGCACTCTGATAAACATATATCAAGTATTTTATAGATCTAAATATACCTATCTTCC